GCTAGGAACTTCATGGCTTTCCCACCTATGACTATAGCATTTACCTTTTCTACTGCATATTATTCTATCGATCACTTTGTCTCTATTCTCCAAGTCTAAAAGCTTTGACCCACTCTTTCAATGCGTAGTCTCATACGTGGCCACAACGAGGCGAACTTCTTTCCATGCGTCTTCGCCCGACCTACCCGCGACTGTCCCCATGGTTTGGTTTTCGTAGGTTTGTTTCTCGCATTTCGATCAGGAATATTTCGCTAGCGCGAATACACATCGCTAAGGCTTTCTGCAGTGTCTGAGGTAGTTACTAGATGTTCTAGAAACCAAGTAGTCATAGTGAAGATCAACAAAAACTCGGTCACAAGATTCCCCAGACTGGGTTTATCGACGAGTCAACACTTCAGCCATGTAAGAAATAAATTTCAAGATTTGTACAAATACAGCTGCATAAATGTACAGAGAAATAAATGAATGAATACGATTGAAAGATGCTCAACAGACGGCACTAGAAATCGTAGAATATAGGAATTGTGTACGGGAACTTGAGGCGAATCTCGAAGAAATCGGTTAGTCCTTGAGGGCTTGTTGGATGAAATTCAGCATGCTGGCATCTAAATGAGCGGCGCCGTCCGACGATCGAATGCCGTGCCGCTCAGACGGGAATAACTGAAAAATGGATTTTCAAATCGTTTCACCAACAGTACGTGCAGCTTAAGTTGCAAGTCCACTCCCACTGATTAAGTAAATGGCCATTTTGAATTTCTTTGAGATAACCTATACCAGATTTGTACTTAAGCTTAATAAAGTTTAAGTACAAATCTTTTGCCTTTTGCCGTTTTTTTTTGCCGTTGCAGTTTTTTTTTTTGCCAAAAGTGCTATCCTTCCTTCCCTAGGCTCAGTCCCGGAAGATGCCCCGCTATCTTGCGATAGCGCTCCCAGCATTTTTTATGGACCGCTCCAAACGACGCTGAATAGGGATTCCACTGCTAGCTTAGCTGTTGTGAGGCAAAAATCTTCTTCGAATGGCGGACTGTCCGAATTTTTCAGATGGCGTGCCGCGCCTTACCTGCCAGCTGATATGGTTTTCTCGGCTCTGTATGAGATGCTCGATGATGTTTCTGCTGTGGCGAAATGAACATTTTCATCCAAAGAACCGTGGACAAGAAGCAATCGTACCAAGGCCGCAAGCACAGTAAATATAAGATCAAAACGAGTAGAGATAGAAAAGCATTTGCGCGCTTGATCGAAGCCATTCTGGGATCGGCATGCATTCTACTTTGCATCGTATATTCCTAGACGTCCACTTTGATGTCGCGATATTGATTTATACAACTGACTTGCAGAGTGCCTACCAAATCATGTTTCTACTCTCTCCACAAACGAAGTCTTGGTTACCAAATCAACCGACCTCAGAGGGAATGAAGGCTCGTTGGCCCAGACGAAGCACGACAGGATTTTCGATCGCGCGTACCCGCGCGCGGGTAAGTAGCCGCTTGCACTTATAGCACATCCGCCCCAAAATTCAAAAACAACACATTAACCAGTTTAGCAATGGTGGAACATTCATGACAATCTGTTAACCAAAAGTTTGCAGACAGGTCTACCTTTCCGATTTGAGGCTCCTGTTTGAAGTATGAGTCGTGAAAGCAGTACAACATAGCGCTTGTCGCCATTCTACCGTGAAGAGGGATGGAACAGGGGAGTAAGCCCTAACGACCCTTAGCGTTTGAGGTGCAACGAGGGGGAGTTCGTAATACTCGGGAAGAAAAAAAAAAAGAACCACAAGCAGTTTAATAATTCGTATGTAATTTGGATATATTGCAAGGGAACATGCTGACGGCAACTTAGTTTCAGACCTTTGTCAAAATCTCGCGTTTAAACTGAAAAAGAAAACATGAAGAATTGCCGATGGGTTTTAGTAACATTGAATGAGTGCCTTATGATGGAATGGAGAAATAAATATTGTTCAAAGGTTGGATGAATTCGAGTTCTACGTCTCGCATTCTTAGAAATGAGGTGTTAGAGCACCCACCCTAATTTTTGAACGTGAACCGTTTGCCTCGCTTTTTACATTATGAATGGTACTTTCGTGAGTGTCACACCGATTTTTTTTTCATATTAAATTTCAATTTTTATTTCTTGTCCAAAGGTCCAAGGTGGAGAAAGAACTCCCCGTCGATACCAATAGGGTTACAGGTGACTTCTAGTGAGAACTTTATAATGGCCCTGTACATTTCGAAGAGATCGCTCAGATTCATAGAAACAGAACAGGAAGAGGAAGCGTGCACGGGGGTTGGGCTTGAGAAGGATCTCTCAATCTTGAGCCACGTTTAGGCCTCTGAAAAAAGACGACCTCGTCGAAACGTCGGGCGGGCTGTCTTCACCTAAAACGTCCTTGGTAGAAAAAGAACATTATAATAGCGCACAGTCATTTTGCAATAGAAAATGTACTAATAAGAAAGATTTGACTCACTGATCTGGTAATTTCTCAACGTGCTTAATTACAGATGACTCGTCATAGAAGGGATCTCTATCGGTACCGTAACCAAGGTATCTTTCTGTGTAAGCTGTATCGTACAGCTTCCAATCTGTCACGGCCCCGCCAGCTATAGCAGCGCGAAATACCTGCAAGGGAATTCTGTGATGAATAAGGTCATAATGTCAGAACGAGTACCTTGTTCATTCTAAAACTCACATTGGGAAACTTGGCTAACGCGAGTAGCGACATGTAGCCACCGTAGCTCCAACCTTGCACTACGACTCTGGACAGGTCCAACATTCCATCCATGAGTTGCGCAACCTCTCTCAAACCCTCAACCTGGTCCTCAACTTCGCATTGTCCCTATGGAAACAACAACTGAAAAATCTGCCGCATAATGTCTCATGTGAATCTTGGCATGAATACTAGTCGATTTCTTTAATTTCAGCATTTCCAAGTGTCCTTACACTTACAAGGGAGGTCGTTCAGGGTGTGCCAAGCTTTTTCAAAATGGTTTCTTGCATGACATTGGGGCACATATGGGACCACAGAAGCATGGTTCATTTTTCCTGAACGGCCCTCTGAATACCAGAAAAGGGGTCCCTAGTTCGATTCCTCGTGGTGACAAATTTTTGCATTTCGTGTTGACGTTTCCAAATTCGCGCAAAATGGAGTTAGCATGAATAATTAGTACCATTCATGATTAGGAACCGTCAGTAACCCTTACAAATAGACTTTGATTGAAAAACTGGTGAAAAAGGTGTGACTAGGGACCCCCTTTTCTGGTATTCAGAGGGCCGTTCAGGAAAAATTAACCATGGTTCTGTGGTTCCCCGCATGCCTCTATATCATGCAAAAGACCGTTTTGAAAAAGCTTGGCACACCCTGAAAGACCTTCCTTTGATAAGCGATACGAAGTTATTACGAACGTCTACAATAAACACAAAGATGACTCACAAGTCTGCCAAAAATGGGAAATTCGAAATCAGTTCCTCGATTACTTGATCCACGACCATCCAACATCACAACAACAAACCCGAGCTTCGTGTACTTTTGGAAAGGAATCCACCTGTGATAGGTAGCTATTATGGATAATTTTCAATTTGGGCAGAAAACTTTCAACAGTAGAGTCCTAGAGGTCATGTGCTCGCAGTGTTTGTGCACCTAAGACATTCGTGATTGCCTGCGAGATCCCTGCGCGATTTCACGTAAACTGTAGCGCGTTGGAGTGAGTGCTGCCAATTTTTTATTGGTTTTAAATGCTCAAATCGTTCACTTATCGTAGTTCTTTGCTTGTATTGGTGAATATGCCTTTGTTTTGTGATGGTGCATAGAGCAGCCGCATTTCTTGGCTAAGCAGTGCCAGACCGGAAATTGCGGCGAAGCAAGCTAGTCCGGACAGCTCGTCCGGCACACCCTTTCCTTATTTCAATGGGGAAGAGCTGGGGGCCTTGTTTGAGGAGTTCATCGCGACATTCTTTGATTTCTTTCCTGATTTGCGGTAAACTCGATCTACAAATTCATTATCGTCCGCTTTTACCCCACCAATCGATTCGTGGGTGTTGCTTTAACCCTTTCCGGACCGCGCACTTTTTGCGCTCACGGCCGCATGCTGCGCGGCAAGCATAAATATCATATATTTAATCTGTATTCCCACTAAAGCCATTATTTTGTCTCGTTTATGTCTTTGTCATGTCTCGAAGAATATATAAGATTAATTTGACAGAAAACTGTTTTGCAAAAAAAGGGAAAGGGCCATAAAAAGGGAGGAAGGGACGAAAATTGTTCAAAATAAGTTGGTATGGAGAAAAAGGGAGTAGAACGTGCCCAAAACGATTGGATCCATAAGAATCAGATACGACGAGCAGGATATTTCACAAATTCTTCGTTTTTAAGTGTTTTCAAGCGAACTACAACTGTTTTCTTTGAGCCCAAAGTGGAAGTCCATTTACTCTTTGGTTATTTTAGAACCTAGATTAAACCTAAAGTCTAGGTTTTTTCATACATATGGCATGAGTCTGTTACATAGGTATGTAACAACATAAAATATTTTATCGAAAAACCAAACTCTTGGAAAAATCAGCTCTTGAAGTTCCTGACACACCATGTGTGTCAGGCGGTCCGGAAAGGGTTAAACATTTGTCTAATAGAAAGTTTTTGACTGCCTAGAGAATCCGTTCAGCAGATAACACAGATTTGGGATTGCCATTTCAGAAGCTCCATGTGGCGGCAGCACCTACGAACTCTTTCCTTTTTCTGTTTCAAAACTGGCTTTCTGATGAAATGCTTTTTCCCGAGACCCGTGGTCTTTTCCCTCTGCACTAAAGACATCGTTTGAGCACTGGCGTAGGCTCTTGTCTCATTCTCTCTCTGTCTCCTATCTCTGTCTCTCTCTCTGTCTCACATTATTTCCAAAAAAAATTGAAAAAAAATCGGATTGGAACATACGTGCTGTAGTCATTTCGTACCAACTGAATTCCGGGGCCGCCATACACGTAATGCAGAACCGGATAACTTCGATCAGCTTCACAATTTGAGGGGCGCATCACCATAGCATAACGCTGCACTGATCCTTGAAAAAAGGTATCGTGAATTTGAAAAGTTGCCCTTCGCTAACTCTTTTTCCCAAAATTGAGCCGTATTTCAACTGAAAATTTAGCTATACACTGCATGGGTTGTAGTTTGAAACGTAGAACACGTAAATCACATCAGTTCAGCGCAAAACAAGGGCTCTCCCCACAATGGTCAGCGCCAAGAGGTTTTCGTTCACTTAAACGCGCGAGAACTCACCCAAAGAGGTAATTCAATATGAAGGACACGAAAATCATGCTTAGTTGTAAACCCGTAGTGCGACTAATCTGTTTTAGACTCGACTGCAGAATATTTTAGTAAGAAAAACAATTCAAACTAACTTAGACTGGTACTCGACGATGACGGGCACATCATTAATCTGAACTGAGGCCGGCAGCGTGTACCCAGCGAGTCCAATCTGAAGGAGTTACACATTATAGTTTCCCTTCTTATTGAACGACCCAAATTATTCGACCATTACTGCCCTATCCCATGCACGTTTCTGATCCACGGAAGCATGAGCCAGGAGTAAAAAAGTTTTGAAAGGCGAATCTCTCAGAGTGGGCTTTCGAAATTGAAAAAATTTCGGCACTATTTACCCTTTACTGCCCCACTCCTCAAGAACTGAGCCGGATTTTGATCGAAATTCGTCCATGACTGTGGATTTGGCTAGAAACTTGTTTCCGGGGTAATTCGACCCGTAGAACACGAATATCACATCGTTTGGCCTACGGTTGAACTACCCCTGAAGGCAAGTTTCTAGCCGAATCCACAGTCATGGACAAATTTCGATAAAAACCGGCTCAGTTCTCGAGGAGTGGGGCAGTAAAGGGTTAGTACCAAAATTTCTTTTTCTGAAGGTAGCCCCGCTCCGACCCCCTCCCGCAGTTATTCCTTGTATTCCAGGTTGTATTTCAATTTACTGTGTCCTGTCCTTGCTTGTGTTTATTTTTCTGTTAAATTAATTTATACATAAAGTGTCAAGGTAGTGAACGGTCTGTGACCGCTCTAATTGTGGCCATTCATTGTGCCTAAAAATAACTCAGATTCTATGTCGAAACCTAATAC